TTAACAGAAGTTAAATATAATTCTCAACTTACATGTCTACATTGAGTAAGAAAAGAAAATGTTGGTAAATATTGGTACTCTTTTGAAAATTTTACTTCATTAGTCATAAAGCCAATGTATTGAAAACTCACATATTCATTCTTGTTTCTGACTGCCTAATGATTTCCCTCTCAGATTCACATTCTTCAGTGAATGATGTTAAATAAAGTTGGTTCATTCTTTCATTAAAGTATTCACACTTAAACGATAAATCAAGTGTTCAAAATAATTTCGCCAGACCCAGCATATTCGTGAACTGATGAGAAATTTATTATGGCATCTATAAGAAACTCACCTTATCTCCAGAACTAAAGAGGAATTGATCTTCCAATCTTCTACAGAGTGCTGGAAGATTGACGAGCCAGTCTTTCGAATAATTTTATCGGAACTATTGACAAGTGATCGACTCAAACATAATTCACCCTCTCTGAAACAAATAAACAAAATAAGACAACATTGTTAAAGGTAGAAACATTTTGCTTAAGTGGCATAAGGAGATAATTTATGTATAATACTGGTGTACAGATACAACTTCATCTATGTAATAGATGGGGAGATAAAAGCATAATTTTTTAATAGACAAAGTGGATGTAACTATTAGAGCAAACACCTATACTTACCTTTTTGAAATGCGACTATTTTCATTTCAAGAATGTATTTCTGGAGTACTTCAAGAAAAAAGTTTAACAAAGCCCTGCCCAGATGCCCTGGCCCATGTCACCCCTCCCCTTCACTTCCCAGTGTAGACAATAGAGACAGGATGTTTGCTCAATTCCTCTGCATCTGTATTATTGTTACACTCAAGATTGTATTTTTTTAAAGCCTTGAGAAATAATGGGAATCGCTTTGTTTGTGGAGTAAGAAGACCTTGGAAAATCAGCGGAACTGGGTTTGTTCATAAATCTATCACTTACTAGTCTAGTTCTCTTGGACAAGCCATATTCTTTTTTATAATTCACACTAACTAACTTCACCTTATCTTGACATTGCAGTAACGTTATTGTGGAACTCCAAATGAAAAGTCATTTAGAAAACACTATTACTGAAGTGCCAAATTTCAAAAACAGTGATGACCTCAAAACATCTCATAAAGATGCTTCCCTGACAGTTAGTGGTGGGCGGGGAGGCAGAGAACAGAAAATCCACTCAGTAGCTATAACAATAACTAGGGCTGCCCTGTTCAACCAAGTGTCAGGCTAATTTACCATGTGGCATGTTTGTACCAGGAGTGCTGACAATAGGCAGTCATGATGGTAATAGATATATATGATATCATTTATATCACCAGGTCACTTGCAGCTGGACCAATGTATTGCTCCATGGAGTTGATCTTTGATATGTGTGTGTGGAAATGTTTAGGTGTGAAGGTCCCTGGGTGGTACAAGGGGTTTGAACCTACCTAGTAGCTCCCAGAGGATAAAAATGAGACTTTCTATGCCTGTGAAGAGGTAGAGTCTTGGAAATCCACAGCGGCAGTTCCAACCTGTTTAATAGGGCTGCCATGAGTCAGAATCCACTTGATAGCCGTGAGCTGAGTGGCTCCTTGGGGGGAAGGTTTGGCAATCTTCCATAAAGCTGACAGCGAAGAACAGGCTCTGGAGCCCTGCTACTCTTCCACACAGGAAGTTCTCAGGAGTCAAAATCAACTAGATGGCAACAGTTTCTTATAGGCCTGAACACAACCTCATGGAGTCAAACCCTTCCATAATGTACAAATGATTGTTTACGTGTCAACGTTTAGTGTTTTAGAATATCAAAGGTATAGATAAGAAGTAGTGACTCTTGGCTCATTACAATGTTTAAATCTGTGTTTATTATATAGGCCAGCCTCTCTTATTCATCAAAAGAAAATTTGATGAATTCTGTGATTGGAAGCTTACAGTGGGATATTTTGGTTCACATTCTTTTTTAAAGATGCACTTTAAATTTGCAGCAGCTTGAAACATCACATGCAACCCTGTAAAATTTAAACCCCATTAAAGTTAATATTTTAGGGCTATCCTAATAATTAAAATGATACATTTACATGCTGATGCATGGCTAATAGTAATCATTTTACAGAGGTCACCTAAGAAACAAGGAAAAATGGACTGCAATTTACAACTAAGTACCTGAGAAATCAACTTTTATATTACATCTCTAATATTGGTAATGTTGTCCAAATGAAACTGTGGATGCAGGAAGAAGATACAGCTCACTTCTAGGGATATGCCTTCAAGATGGTCAATACAAACCCTCACCAATTCTAGGGGTGGAGATCTGTCCAACCTTCCTCCTTTCAACAACCACAAATACCATCTGTATTTAAACATAAAGTGCTTTGATTGAAATAATTATTTTCACCTACAATCAGCATTTGTAGAAAAAACAAAAACTTGCATGGGCTAGTTTGTTTTTGTTTTTAATCTGTGGAAGACTGCTTTTCTGACTTTTGTGGTTGAAAATATATTTTCATCTGGCA